CAAGGGGCAAGGCGAGATTCGGGACGTGATGAAGGTCATGGGGTTCCCTCACATCGGACCTGATGGACCTTTCCAGGAATTTTTCAAGGCAGATATGCGGACTTGAGTCTTGGTAAGCAAGAAGGGATATCACGAGTGGCCAACCTGACTTGTATTGTAAATTTTGACAAAACTTCTACCTCTCATCACTCTCTCTCCCATTCTCCATAACCAATCCTCGAATGGCCTGCTAGTGAGACGTTCCCTCAGGAACTCTCCTCTTTCTTTTGCCCCTCAATGATAATCCTTTCTTGGAATATTAGAGGGCTGGGACATGCTCAAAAGAAACAGGCAGTCAGAGACCTCTGCTCAAGGCATAAACCTTCTGTTTTGGCCCTAACTGAAACAAAACTATCTATTCCTACTCTTTCTCTTGTCCGACAAGTTTGGGGGCGCATACCATGTCAATGGGCTGCTCAACCTTGTGAGGGTGCTTCAGGGGGAATTTGGGTGATATGGGACCCCACAACCCACTCCCTAAATTCCACCCACCTGGCGAGATTCTCTATCTCCATCCTGATGACCAGGATTGCAGACAGTCTCTCTTGGAAATTTTCTGCGGTCTATGGGCCTAACGCAGATGCAGATAGACCCACACTTTGGGAGGAACTAAACCTAGTAGCTCAGCTCCCTCACCTTGTGTGGTGCATTGGCGGGGACTTCAATGTTACTAGGTGGTCCCATGAAAGAAATTCTTCTTCTAGGATCACACAAGCCATTACGGCCTTCTCAGATTTCGGGGCCTTGAATAACCTAGTTGAGTTACCATCGCAAGGACCTAGGTTCACTTGGTCAAACCACACCACCAACCCCTCACTTTCCAAATTGGACAGATTCCTAATCTCAATTGATTGGGAATCCACATTCCCTAGAACCCATTCTATCGCTCTTCCCAAACCCACCTCAGACCATTGTCATATTCTGCTTGAAACCAACCTTGTTGACAGCGGTCCAAAACCATTCAGATTTGAATTGACCTGGTTAGAAGAAACCTCTCTCCTCAACCTTCTTCCGAACTGGTGGCAGTCTCTTTCTGACCTAGTTGAAGGTTGGGCTGGTTTCAAACTCCAACGCAAACTCCAGTTATTGAAGGCAACCCTTGAAAGTTGGAGCAGGGAACTACTGGGCTTCTTCGGGCCCCAGAAATCCTCGACCTTACTGGCTATCCAATCCTTATACATCTTGGAAGAGTTCAAACCCCTCTCGGAATCTGAACTCCTTCTAAAGGATGATCAAAAGGATGACCTCAAGCTTCCATACCAATCCATCCTAAAGAAAGAGGAAATATTTTGGTACCAAAGGTCAAGGATCAAGTGGTTGAAGGCCGGTGATCTCAACACCGGCTTCTTCGATAAGATGGCCAGCTGTAGGCTCAGAGACAACTACATCTTGATGGGAACAATGTACTGCCCTTCGACATCGAGCAAGCCATCCTAGGCTACTTCAAAGACCTTTTTTCTGGACCTCCCATGAGGGACCTGGATTTCTTGACTTTACCGTCGGACAAAGCTTCATGGTTAGAAAGATCGTTTTTTGAACTAGAATTTGTTGCTGCCATTTCTGATTTGGATTTGGAGAGAGCCCCTGGACCTGATGGCTTCCCCATTGCCCCCTTCAAACAGTTTTGGGCCTCTTTTAGAGAAGATTTCTTCAATGAATTCCCTTCCAAGGGGGTAATTCATAGGGCAATGAACGCCACTTTCATTTCACGCATTCCCAAAATCGAAGGTGCTACCCAACTCAAAGGCTTTCACCCAATCAGCTTGGTCAACTCCACTTATAAAATCCTCGCGAAAGTTTTAGCTTCTCGCCTGAAAGAGGCCCTTCGCCTTGTAATATCTCCCACTCAAAATGCCTTTATCAAAGACCAGCAGATCTTGGATGGGACACTAGTGGCCCATGGATGCATCCATCCTAGACATTTGGCCGGAGCACCTGGTATAGTAGCCAAACTCGACTGGGAAAAGGCTTACGACCATGTAGATTGGGACCTCCTTGAAGAGACTGAATCTAGGATGGGATTTGGAATTAAGTGGAGGAATTGGATGAAAGCGTGTTACTCCCATCCTCACTTCTCCATCATCATTAATGGAACCCCCGAAGGTTACTTCCCTTTCACCGAAGTCCTCAGACAGGCAGATCCCTTTTCTCCCTTCCTTTTCACCATAGCGGCTAAGGTATTCAGTAGGTGCATTTCAAGAATGTATTCGGTTGGACGCCTGCATGGTTTCTCAGTTGGTCCATGAGCCCCCACTGTTACCCACTTACAATATGCAGACGACACGTTAGTCTCTTGCAATGCCGACCAGGCAGAAATTAGGTGTTTTGACTTTGCAATAGGCTTCAAAGTCAACTTCGATAAAACTAAGATGATGGGGGTCAACGTTGACTCTATCACCCTCTCGGAGTTTGCCAATAGTTGGGGTTGTGGGGTAGAGACTTTGCCCTCTAAATACCTCAGCCTTCCTTTTTGCATAGGCACACCTAAACAAAGACTTTGGTCCCAAATAGTAGACAAAGTGGATCGCAGGCTAGCTGGCTGGAAAGGGCGCTTTCTCTCCCGGGGAGGAAGGCTAACTTTAATCAATGCCACTCTTGCCAATATCTCGGTTTACCAAATGTCCATTTTCCATATGTCGGTAGCAGTTAGTTCCAGAATTGAACAACAAGTGAGGAGATTCTTCTGGTCGGGAGATGATTCCAACAACAAATTCGATTTGATTGTCTGGGATAAACTTCCTCAGACCAAGAAAAGGGGAGATCTGGGAATTAAGAATCTCAGAACTCAAAATATGCGCTGCTAGGCAAATGGAGTTGGAGACTGTCTACTTTAAATAACCAGCTTTGGATCGACATCCTTAAATACAAATACCATCTCCTGAACTCTCGTTGGTTGCCGAATCTTAGACCCAACCAGAGGTCTTCCGGTATTTGGTGGTCTATCTGCTCAGCATTCTATGCGTTCAAATCTCGCATCAGATTTCACCCGAGAGAAGGAAACCGTATCCTATTTTGGCATGACCTTTGGCTGGGTCATACTCCTCTCAGGAATAGATTCCCTGATCTTTTTTCACTGGCCAGAAATCAAGAGGCAACGGTAGCTCAAGAAATGCTTTCGGCTGGATCATGGAATCCTACTTTCAGAAGGCCTCTTATGGACCTTGAGATCCACCTTAGCAGCAGAACTTCAATCTGACTTCTTTCTACCATAGCCTATCTCTTCCACCCCTCTATCTCGCAACGCTGTTGCAGCCAAGGCCTGGACATCTTTCGCACCACCCAAAATCTAGATCTTCACGTGGTTGGCCATCTCTCAGAGAGTACTCACTGTAGATCAATTGCAAAGAAGAGGGATCCCGATTCCTAATCGATGTGTCATGTGTCTTGAAGCAGAAGAGACCAACGACCATCTACTACTGCACTGTCCATTTACTTTTAACATTTGGGGGTCCGTCCTCAAATTGTTTAATGTGCAATGGGTGCTACCAGCATGGGTGACTTCCATCCTCACCTCTTTTCAACCTTACCCTTGGCACAAGGCAGGGATTCTCCTTTGGAAGTCAATGGTGTCAGCAGCTTTGTGGGTCATCTGGCTCGAGTGCAACAATAGAATTTTTAGGGGGGAATTCTCTACTTGGCACAAATTTTTCAACAAGCTCAAATCCATGATAATCTTTTGGGCAACCAATCATCAGTGTTTCAAAGGAGTTTCTGCCTTGGCTTTCAACCAAGACTGGAGAAATATTGTCCAATTCCATCGACTGCGCCTGCAAAGGGCATCCCGATGGAAACCTCCACCCTTGGGCATCTTAAAACTCAATTTTAACGAGTGCTCTCTTGGCAACCCAGGCCTGTCAAGGATAGGAGCAATCCTTAGAGACCATCTCGGTACTACTGTGGCAACAACATCTAAACATATTGGGCACAATAACTCCATGGAGGCTGAAGCAATAGTTCTCTTGGAAGGCCTCAAACTCACACAACCCTTCAACTGCGCTTGCTTGTAGTGGAGGGAGACTCCAAGAACACCATTACCTGGGCACATTGTCCTTCTTCCTCCCCCCCTCCTTGGTCTTTGGCACACCTCTTTGACGAGATTGATAATCTTTGCAGGAATATGTCCGTCGTGTGGATGCATACTTGCTGGGAAGGAAATCAGGATGCTGACTACCTAGCAAAAGAAGCGGCGGCGATGGCTAACAACTAGACACTCTATTTTTTCGTTGTTTGCCTTTTCATCTTGTTTTGTGAATCAACCTGTTTTCCTAGGGTTCTGTCCCTCACTGTAACCTCTTAAAAGGGGATTTTGATTCAGCCTTTTGTTTGATCTCTACCTTTAACATCCTCGCTTGTGGATTGCCAAGGTTTATTGTATTATTCCTTCTTATAAATTAAAGGTTAACGTTATCCAAAAAAAAAATATGCTGATGGGATGACCAACCAGTTTGATTGATCCACAATATTGTATACTTTTCATAGTTAATACAAATTACAGTCAACATTATCACAAAAAAAGAAAAAAAAGAAAAAAGAAAAAAAAATGCTTTGACAACTAGATGCATTTGTGTATTTCTATCTTTCAAATTTCTTTAGTCTAGCTTTTTGTTCATCCTACGAATACTTGTCATAAGTCTTGTAAATATCCATTATCGGGCCATATATCTGTTAAGGAAAAGAAACTGCAGCAAGTCATATACTATCACTTTCCAGTGTTCATTTACTTGGCTCAATTTGGACTCAGCCTCTGCCCTAGTTGACTAACTCAGGTGAGTTTAAGTGGACTCTCTTGACTCCTGCCCGGGGCCACAAAAGCCTTGGGAGACATCATAAAAATTAAGGAGAAATCCCCAAAAAAAAAAAAAAATTGAACAAGGAAAAAAGAAATAGAAAATTACAAAACAACTAACATTCTTGAAGCTTTAGAGAAAAAACATCATCAAGCTGAGAGAAAGGGTAGGGCATTTGGGGTTCTCTGATTAGCAGAGAGAGATTAGGGCATGTGGGGTTCTCTAGGTGGAATGAACTGAGTCCTCCCTCTCTCTCCATGATTTCCACCAAATTTCACTATTCTCATAGTACTTGTAGACCACAATTCCAATTCCATGAGAATATATGTATGCGTGTAGGAGAGAGAGAGAGAGAGAGTCTTACTAACAGTACCCTGGTGAGGACTGTAGCATCTCGCCTGAGTACTCCAGAACTCTGGGGAGCCTGCCTGAGTTCTATTGTACTAGGGCGAGTTTGTATAATGCTCACCTGAGTACTTCACAGGTATCTCACCCCATGATTATGTACAATATGCTCTCCTGCCAGGGTGCCGAGGCCTCGCCTTTACTGAGTTTTTGTCCTTTTGAGTTCACTAGAAGAGTCGGGTATGCTATGTGGTATTAGACTATTACTATTATCCAGACTTAACGAGGAGGTGATTAGCTTAATATTATGAAGGAGATTCTTTTATTGCAAATGTTGGATTTCAGTTTTAAGTTTTTAGAAAGGTGTTTATTTTGAAAATGTATATTTTTTCATTAAAGGATTAGTTAGAGTTTAATTACTATTAAAAAAGTTAATAAGTTTAAAATTTGGTCGGCAACAGGATATTCTTTGTATTTTTTAAATGTCTCCAAGCCTCATACATGAGGGAAGAGACAGTCCATATGCAATCTATTGTAACACCATTGTGTTTTTATACTCACAACATCTGGAATGTGTACTTTCTTCCAAAAGTGTTTAGGTTGTGATGAATCAATGAATATTATTAGATGCTTAATATTGGGATAAAACCTCAAGAAATTGAAACATTCATGTCTATTTTTCGCCAAAGTTCGTGAAGATGTATATATTATTGTTTAATGCTGCCGTCATGAAAGAATCCTCATCATGTTAAGAATCCTCTGAGTGTAGCTCATATGGCAATGTGCTACTTTTAAAGATGATACTCATGTTCAAATCATCTCCCATGGCTTTATGGCAATCAAAAGAAGAATAAAGTAAATTATATGGCATGGTGTGGTTATGATGAAAGAATTAAGGAAGTCGAGGGTTATTTCTGCGCTCTTAATTTACTGGAAACCATGTTCGCTTTTGATGTTCCTTTTTTCTCTCTTAAAAGAATAAATATCTGCCATTAGTAATCATAAAAGTAAGAAAAGAATCAGTGACATGCCTTAGATTCTGTTTTCACTTTTTGCCAACATGATGATCGACTTTATAGTTGATACCGATAAAAGAATTATTGACTTGGAATTGCTGATTTCTGCTCACTTGTTGGGTTTTGTGTACAGATTTGTATCAGATTGTATGCTGCAATATATGGAGGGTACTAGTGGGAAGACGGATTCATTGGAGAGTACGGAAGGAAGAATCCTAGAGGATGAGAGCCTTGATAGGTTTAGCAGCTTACCTGACAATATCCTTAATTCCATCCTTTCATATTTGCCCACAAAGGAAGCTGTGAGGACGAGTGTTCTATCCAATCGATGGAAATATATGTGGACTGGTATTTTGGTGCTTGATTTTGATGAGAATTGCTTTTGTGGGAAGGGGGAGAATAGTAGAAAGAGAGAGAAAATGGTGGGCATTGTTAACCGGGTCTTGAAGCTCCATTTTGGGCATGTTGAAAGGTTCAAGCTTGTGTTTTACCCTGGAAAGTTCAAGTCCCATATCTCTAGGTGTTTGCAATTCTTACAAACGAGTGGGGTTCAAGAGCTCGATCTTGATTTCAGAGGGGAATCTCAAGAAGCCTATGCCGGATACGGTTGGTATGAGTTACCATCTTGTATCTATGATTTAGGGTCGCTATTGGTATTGAATCTTAAAAATTGTACCATGGGTGTTCCTTTGGAGTTTAAAGGCTTAAAATCTTTGAAGACTCTGTGTCTCTCTGATGTTTATATCAGTGGCGAACAACTTTCCATTTTGGTTTCTAAATGTGAAGTCCTTCAAAACTTGACCGTACATTGTTGCAAGGACATTGAAAACATTAAGATTTTGGGTCCTCACACTCAGCTTCAGAGCTTGAAGATAGATGGATGCTGTGTAACTTTGGGGGAACTTGAGATTGATGCTCCAAATTTGTTGTCTTTTGATTTTACTGGCTGGGTTTCTGGGTCTCCTATGTTAAATGTTCCTCGGCTGTTGAAAGCAACCATTACTCAGAGTTCCAAGAACTCTTTAGATGGACAGAATGAAAAATGGTATCTCGAGATGGCTATGAATCTTAGCAAGCTGGTTCATGTCGAGTCTTTGTCTCTGCTAGGATTTTTTGTCAAGGTAAATTGATACACCTGTCTCTTCTTTGAGGGAATTTACCCAGGTTTTCTCATGAACTTGTTAAATGGTGTTCTTATTTTGGTATATGTGGTACAATCCAACCATAGTTTGGTGGGTCATCACCATCCATTTCATTGATAGAGGATAGAACATACCAGAACAAGAGATGGCCCCAAAGGTAGGTCCCATTCTCTTTCTATCACCATCCATCACTTCAATGGATGACAATGAATCAATGGACTGTGGCCTGTTTGTTGTCCATGTAATTTATTTAGATGTAAGATATCACTAGTTCATACTCTTTTTCGATGATATGTTCGAACATTTAGAAATTTATGGAATATATTGAAATTCATCAAGATATTCCTTATTTTCTAATGTGAGTTTTCTACCCATTTCTTATAGGCGAAGATTTGCTCAAAGAGATTGGGCGGCCTTCTCTTTTTTGATGGATATAGTCATACAACTTTAGTTTCAGAAGTTCAGTAATTTGGTTTTAATTATCTTATTATTGATATGGGTTCTACTATTATGGCTGTTCTAAAAAATAATGGGGGCACCTAGGTTGTTGAAGTCATTGTTATTGTTCTACTTTTATTTCTTCACCAGTCTAGTTCTATTTCTTCCCCAGTCGTCAGTTTTATAATTCTTTTTTTTCCTCTTAAAACTGAAAGAGAATCTTCTATAATTTTTGAGGGGAGCCATTTCATAAGCAATTATGGTTAAACCCATTTGCTCACCTCATTTTGTGGTCTGTGGAAGTTTTTGGCTAAAGGTGAAGCGATAGACCAGGTGCCTACAAATTTCTTAAATCTCAAGAAGCTTGCCCTGAAAGTAAACATGACAAAAGTTTCTGAGGTTACAACGATTGCTCGCTTCCTTGGATGTTGCCATCATTTAGAAGAAATTGTTTTCTGGGTGGGTCTTCTACAATCACAAATTGCTCTATAGCTTCTTTCTTTCGTTTTTTTTTTTTGGTTTTCAGTTAACTTTGTTTTTCAATTCTCCATTTTCGCTTATTTTGATTCTTCTCTCACTCTTTTTCAGCTTGACCAACATCATCCCGAACTAACTTGGCAATTCTGGGATGCACAAGTGCCTCCATATTGTGTAGTAGATTACCTTAAAACTGTGGTGATAAAAAACTTCTCGGGATTGGAGGATGAGGAAGCATTCGTAAGATTCTTGCTCATGTGTGCCAAGGAGCTTAAGAAGATCACTGTTAGTTGCTATGAGAGCATGCGTACAGAGAGGAGGATGCAAACAGCTCTAGAGAAATTGGCAAAAGTAGAGAGGGCTTCCCAAAATGTTGAGATGGTTATTGATTTTGACTCAAACCAAGATCTCAATGGGGACAAGTATTTGTACGATGATTCAACTGACGGACTAAGTGAATATGATTATGGCTATGACTACGACTACGACGACGATGACCATGACTACGATTATGACGCGTTTGAGATAGAGGATTATTTTTCTGACCAAGATATGATCTTAAATCTTTTCTTGCACTAAGTATGTCAAGTCTTGGTTCAAGTTTGATCCTTCAATTCTTCTATTGCAGCAAGTGCTTTATTTTTGGGCAAGTTTCAAAGTCAAAATTGATGCCAATATCAGTTTTATTTTGCATCTAGACTTAATGAGCTCATCTATAGATAAATAATGTAGAATTCTGGATATGGTTCATATTTGATCTACAGAATTAGTATAGGGTCTGTGGAGTGCATTCTTGAGTATGAGACTTAGTTGGAATAAAAAAGTGGAATGAAAAAATGTTGAATCCCATTTAAGTTGGAATGGACAAAAATAGATTTAGTAGTATTTTTAATTTAAGGAATTCACTTGTGGGTTTCGTTCTTTGGCATTTATAAGTGCATACCTATGCTGAGGGGCTATGATAGTGGGCAATTACCATTATGGATATTGAAGATTGAGCATAGGCTGGAGCATCATTGTTTGATATATTCATACTGCTAGACAGTCATTCCAGCCATTCATAATTGACTCTGGGACCATGTAAATTGTAAATAAAAAGAGATTAATAATTAATCATTGTATGTGTAGGTACCTAGGGTGTACATGTCATTTACCCTATATGCTTTTCAGGTTTCGAAATTTGGTGATGTTATATGGCACTATGATTTTTCTGGTTTTAGATTTTGGAGCTGTTTTTCTGATGCGGTGGTCGTGGGGCAGTCAGCTACAACCACACCTAGAAAACCTACTTAGAGATGGAATGAGGACCCACCCATGACTCGCAAATTGTGTTCTATGTGGACAGTCCATTTCAGTAAACTGCTCACTTAGCATTGGTTGTTTCAGGATCCTGACTGGACCTGCCAATTAGGTTTTCAGTACTCGGTTGCAGTAGGCTATAACCGCAGTCTCATAGAATCGCAGCCCTTAGAAGTTTCGTGTATTTATTTATAACAGCTAAAATTTCCATGTGAATTAGAGTGTACTTGATGACACAGAGAGGTGTGGAATCGTAGCTGGGTAAACTTTTGCAGAACTGAGTGGATGGAGGTGGGGTTGGAAGAAGGGGGAACTTCTGAAAGAACTGAGAGGATAGATAGGGGGTCCTATCTATTGGACAATGGAACTTCAGAGAGAGAGAGAGAGACTGAAACCATCCATGGTCAGTAAAGTACCTGTAAACATAAGTAGTTCATCACTATCCGATTCTCTCGTGTTCGATTCACATTTGGAAATAAATTGTTGTTATTCACCCTGTGCATACGACTAGAATACTTGGGCTTTGCCCCAGAAGAATAAATTAAAATGGGCCTTTTTTCGAGAAAAAGTTTACAAGGCATCAACCGTGTGCTATAAAAGCGAGTCATGTCTCAAAAATCTTCTGAAAAAGATTTGTTCTGAAGAGAGAAACTCTCAAAATTGATCATCTCAACTTCAAGATGCATGTATAGGAAAAAGAAAAGAATGCTATATCTTAAAAATTGTATATCTCGTAATACATGATTTGGACTAGACAACATTATTTGAATTGTCTATTTTCAAGATTTTCAAGTATTTATAGATGTGTTTGATCTGTATTTTTTTTTGGAGTTTAAACTCTATAGGTTTTGAAATTTACATTGGGATTTTTAACCAAAATTGCATCTTTCACAGGGTTTCGAGGTGTGAGTCACTTTGAAGGCCAAACCTTTAAAGGGAAGTATCATCCCGGGCTCTTGCAAGTGGCTTGAATTGCTAAGCCTCTTCGAATGTCCCTACCAGAGGGACATGACTCACTTTTTGACTGACTGATAAGCTAACCTTGCTAATGGAGCTTATCAAACAAAGTAAATAAATGCTAGCGGCACGTTTGGCATCATGATAATACTTTTTTGAAAGTATTTTCATATGAAAAACTTCCACTATGTGATTAGTAAAAATACTTTTCAATACGTACTAAACATGCCTTAAAATCACATTAAGAAATGAAATTGTCTACAAAGCGATTATTTATTTTTTGTATAAAGAGGTCACAAGTATTCCCACTCATTAGATGTCAAATTGTATAGTTTGAATTGAGACACAAAGTTTGAGAAATTTCTTTTTTGGAACTCTATGTCTAATTAATGACTCTCTTACAACTAATCATTTTGAAATCTAAAGGATGAGGATGATTGTGACATTCTTGTGTAAAAAGTAAATGGTCTCTTCGTAAACTCTCTTGAGAAATAACATAACTGCAACCCAAGGAAACTGATTTTGATTAGCAAAGGAGAGAGGATCTCATTAGTAATTGTCGTTAACAAAACCCAAAATCCCAAAAATATGAAATGATGCTCCATCAAAATTAGTGTTCTATGTACAAATGGAAAAACAAATAACCCAAAAAAATTGAAACTTAATGAAACCTATGTGTATAGAATTTAACAAAAGATTTATGTCTATCAAACAATTTGCGCAGGCCAAACTGAATAGTTGAACCTCATATTCAAACCCCAGCCACCTAAAAATAAAAAAAATGAAAAAGAAAAAATGAAAAATAAAGGAAATTATTAAAATTCTTCACTCATACCCAATTTTCTCTTCTTTTTTTATCCCTTAATTGCCATGCTAGAGCTACAGATCTGTTGCAACCAATATTATGAAATTCGCTTCACTTCAGCCGAAGAGGCTGAAGCCTTTAGTTATTTGGCATAAACCGAAGAAAAGCGAAGCTTGGTACTGCCGCTTCCGTGAGATTCGAGCCCCTTCAGGCTGCTTTGGTAAGATTCGGGTCTGCTTTGGGTTTGCTTCGAGTATGCTTTGGGTCTACTTCGGCCAACAAAGAAATAGCTATATAAAAGTAATTTTTATTTTTAACTTTAATTTTTTGATTTTTTGTATATAATTTATATATAAATATCTAATTTATGTATACCAAATTAAAAAAAATTATGATGTCTTCCCTGAATCTGCCGAAGCACCGAATTACTTCATTTTTCTCACCAAACCGAAAAAGACTCCGAAGCAAATATGACAATATTAATTACAACCATACACGTGCGACTATGGGCTTGTTTGCACCCAAGGCACCATAGACCTTCGCACTGTCGTGGACTTATTAGGTCTGTGGTAGTACCATGACAGACTTGTAAGCCAGGACCGAGAGGTGCTTAAAGTACCAAAGACCTTCTAGGCGGTCCACAAAGGCCCAAACACTACCATGGTCTAAGAGATTCATGGCAGTGACTGAGTCATGAGTCTATGGTGGTACCGCTACGCTATGTCTGTAGCGGTGCCTAGGCTTGGTACCACCACGAATGTAACAAAGTTATTGTGCATAAGGGGCTATGGATCTTACAGGTCCTTTGGAGAGCAGTTTAGGAATAGCAAAAAAAAAAAGGAAAATGGATATGAGAAGATTTTGGTAAATTTTAATATTAAAAATTAAATGGATATTTTTCATAATTTTTTTAACTCAATCACCTCATGGAATCGGGTTAAATTTTAGTTCCAACCAAGATCTGGGTTGGCTCCTATCAATTGTCAATCTAAATTAATAAATTAAGCGATTCTGATTTTGACTGCCATAACCCAATGTTAACAAATTATTGTTTTAATTACATCCTTTTCAAGATATAGCCTATATTCCGTAAAACATTCGAACTTTAACTTTTTAAGAAGACAGGCAAAAAAATCACGATTTTTTTTTGAAAAAAAAACACACCCAAGAATGCTCTTTTTTATGTTTTCAAACATACTTCCACAAAAAAATTCTATATTCCCAAATAAGGGTGGTGACTGTGTGGGCTAAAACCAAAAGAAGAAATAAGACAAAAAAACAAGACAAAAAGAGGGCCAAACCGGGACAGTCTTGGTCCCATCCCACACCGTTAGGCCATAAGGCCCTACTATTTTACGGTTGGGCTGAGCAGCCCGGCCAGGCCCATTGCAAGCCGTATCCTAAATTTAAAATCTTTAAAACCTTTACCTTGTTTATTTGAAAATTTTAAATAGGGAAAGCTTACCATACATCCCCACCTATAAATGTTTTAAATTGAAAAAACTTACCTATTTGAATGCATGATTGATGTGCTGTCTTATTTTAATTTTTTTCTACAAAATATTTTGATACCAAATTTGGGGCATCCACACCTCTAATTAACACGTGCATGTGAAAGCTATAAAATTTTTTTTTTTGATAAAATAAAATGACCAAAATAATTTTAAAACCTTAGAGGTATTATGGTCATTTTATTTTTAAAAAATAATTTAAAAATATTTTTTAGGTGAGCACATGATGATACGCACTAAATTTCATGATCATATGATTTATAAAAAATAAAAATGAAGTACTCTAAGACGTCGAGTCTAGATCAAACACTCAATTGCTCACTAGTGATATTATGATTGAAGCCATCCCATCCATCAATTCAGATTAGACAACTAAGAGAGAGAAGATGTAAGAAAAATATTTACGGGTGGAGAAGTAAGGTAAGTTTTTCTTTTTAAATTTAGCAAAAATATAACTTATTAAATTAAGGATCAATCACAATACGATGACTTTCTATCCGGGATTAAATCAAAAGGCCACGCATCCCACATTATCTTTTGAAACATCTAAATAAAATACATCTAAGAAAATATTTATGAGTTTGTCTAGAGTTAACGATACCTCAAAATACAAACGTTAATGTTAGAATGAATTATGATTGATGTATTTATATAAAAAAAACATTAATCATTGCTTTTTGTTAAAAAAAGTATTTTAATATTTATTTTAATTATTAACTAATATCAAAATTTAAATTTTCATAAAATACAATGATATTTTAGAAGTTGATTTTTTTAAAACTTTATTTATAGAGAACTATTATTTTAGTAAAAATTTCAATTTTACTTATTGGGGAGATGATTATAATATTGATAGAACGAAAAAGTTTATATAAGGTTGCAACCATAAAGTGTAGAACTACGGATGCATTTAAAAAATCTATCGGAAAAGGTTATTTTAATATTGAAAAACCCTGTGATTGATCATCTCGACATTGAAATGTAAGACTTTGAAAAATAAAAAGATTTTGAGTCTAAAAAATAGTGCATCTTACAACATATTATCTACACCGTCCATTTTCAAGATTTTCATATGTTTATAGATGTAGTTGATTTTAACCATTTTTTAAATGTAAAATTTTATAATTAACTATAAAAATATATTTTGAGATAATCCTAAGAATATTTTACATCAAAATTATATATTATGATAAAATTTGAATGTCTACCTTAGTTGGATTGTT